AAGACTGCTGAGGCCAAGGACTATTTTGTTACAAGAAAGGAAGAGCTTGGCTATTTTCTTGACACTTTTATGGGTGCTGCACTTTATTTTTGTTCGGTTTTTGATGGGAGGGAAAAGAGTACTGAAATGTTTTGCAACTTTTTTTATGTGCTGCTAGGGTTTTTTGTTGTTTTGTTTTGTTTCTGAAGGGAGGAACGGTACCATACTTTGCAGGAAGTCAAACTGGACTCTCCCCACCCCGCAGTTACTCAATTTGCCTTTAACTGTTGTTAATTTTGGAATCAAAGTATGAAAATCTGCACAATGCAATGTTTACAAGACTGAGGAGACATCTGCTGCAGAGTCTTTTTAACGTGGATATGTACATGTCCGACTTGACAGAAAGAATTAAAGATAAAAGTGTGCTTGTCCCACTGCTGTCAGAGTTCAGCTGTCAGATCTGGTGTTCGTCACACTAAAGCAATAAATCATAGTGGTAACCTACTTTACTAATAAGTAACCTGGGTGGCACAAATTATTGTTTAAAGGTAATATTTACATTTGTATTTTCGGCACCACCAGTTAACTCCTTGACTATAAAGTTGGTATTAAAAACATGACATTTACCCCTCAAGTAGTCTCAGAACTGTTCAGGAGTTGACGTTGTCCTGATGACTGTTTAAATGTTAGGAGTACAGCATGTGTAGAAAGCGATACAGTTTTCTGGGTTTCCAACAAGGTGAACTGCAAGCTTACTCTGACTTCTTTACTTGACATAGCCTGGGACCTCTCAGGGAGTAAGTTTTAAAAGGATAGAGCAGCCTGTAAGAACAAGCAGTGAGAGGAATGTCATTATTAAATCATGGTTCTTGTGTTTCCCTCCGGTGAAGCCAGAAGTGACATAGAGCTGAGCAGCCATGTCTAAGGATTTGGTAGCGTTACCCTCAATGGTGATGGCGGTTTCAGTCCATCTGTTACTGGCTTCTAGGAGATGCTGCTGAGCTTTACTTCTTCCTGTTAAGTCACTGAAATCCACCAGGATATTTGATGATTCTTTTTATTTAGAGTTAGATGACAGTGCCAATTATGATGTCCTTATTATTAGAGGGTTTATCTTCCGACTCACAGGAGCATTAGCTTTGGTTATTTTTGAGTGTAATCTTTGGCTCAGTACCCACTTCAGTTCCTAGCAATTATCTGGAAAGTCAGTACCTGTGGCTGGGAATGCAGGTCACAGGTTGAGGAACCTGCATGGGTCAGGGCTGTGACCTGAGCTTCATCTGTCTTCTTCCAGCTGATGGGACTGAGTTAGGTGATGGGACACCCAATACTTGTGGAAATGGACTGGAATCATTGAATCATACTCCTGTAATGTCACAATCTCCCTGATTCCCAAAATAAAAGTCTTTTTGTGCTTTTGATATAAATATATATACTCTATAATAAAATGTTTGACTAATTTATACAGTAGTGCTCACTGACTTGTAATGGTTTTAATCAGTGACCTTGTCATGGGAGATTGTTTTGTTTTTGTTGTATTTTTTCCTCTCTTTGTTCTTATTTGGAGCGTGCTCTCAGTTTTCTTCTTCATGCCAAATAAGTGGACAGACTAGAACAGGATGAACCCCTGATCTTACAGAAACGGTACTGGACTGACTATTTTCCACTTGAACTTCACTCTGCCCACAACTTGTCTACTTGTCTGTTCAGCCAAATGGTTGCACTTTCATTTTGCCTTCTATAAAAATTTAAACTTTAAAAAAATGTATTAATTTATTTTTTACATTCTAATCCCAGTTCCCCCTCCCTCCTTCCTCCTGCTCCCCCACACACACCTCCCACACACTGCTCCTCAAAGAGGGTAAGACCTCCCCTAGGAAGTCTACTAAGTCTGTCCCATCATCTAGTTGAGGCAGGACCAAGGCACCTCTCCATGCCCCACACCCTGTGTTTAGACTGAGCAAGGTATCTCTCCATAAAGAACGGGTTCCATTAAGTCAGTTTGTGCATTAGTGTTAGATCTTGGACCCACTGCCAGTGGCCTCGTATATTGTCCCAGTTTATACCATTGTTGCCTATATTAAGGGAGTTCAGTTCAATCTTATTCAGGTTCCCCATTTGTCAGACCTGAGTCAGTGATCCCTCACTAGCTCTTTTTGAGTCAGCTGATTCTGTGGGTTTCCCCATCATGGTCTTGACTCCTTTGTTCATATTATTGCTCCTCCTTTTTATTGTACTCTAGGAGCTTGGCCCAATGGTTAGTTGTGGATTTCTGCATCTGCTTCCATCTGTTTCTAGAAGAGGGTTTTAGCTTCTCTGGGGTTGTGGATTGTAGGTTGGGTAATAATTTAAACTCTTAATGGCCAAAAACTGGTGACCACAAAAAAAGGTATTAGCAAAATAAGTATATAATTAATGTTTATTTTGGATTTTGTTTTCTGAGACAAAACTGATTAAGAAAAAAAAATACTGTTGACATTTGACTGAAAAATTTTCACCCCCTGAAGGAAGTGTTCTTTGTGTTAGTGTGTAAAAAATGCAATTGATTTGTTTGGGAAACTGGACTTTAGTATTAAGACAGAATGTTGGGTTGGGTGTGGTAGGTAGCACATGCCTTTAATCCCAGCACTTGAGAGACAGAGGGTGGTGGATCTCTGAGTTGGAGGACAGCCTCGTTTACACAGAGAGTTCCAGGACAGCCAGGGCTAGGTAGAAAGGCCCTGTCTCAAGAAAGCAAAACGAAACAAAAGGGCAGTATATTAGAGTCCTTTATTTCCTTTATTTTGAAAATGTCCTTAGTGTTGAGAGCTGGCTATCTCCTGCCAAAATAAATTTCTTCTTTTTTCGTTAGTAGTATGAAGCAAGTAGGTAACTCATATTTCAGGTTGTAAAAGTTTTCCCTAATCTATGAAAAGTTCAAATTGATCAGTGAAAAATATTTGACATCAAAATACTCAACAAAGACTGTTGTTTTACTTGGTAAATTCCATGTGTTGTTTAATAAAATATTTTCTTTTTTGAATGAGACAGCTGGGGACTTAAGACACAGCAGTTGGTAGAGCTCTTGCCTAGGATGCTTGAGGCCCTCAGATGTATCCACAATACCACATAAGCTGGGCATGGTGGACATACCTGTGGCCCTAGTGCTGGTAGATGAAGACAGGATGGTTCATGCTTTTCCTCACTGCCTGCAGGTTCAAGGCTAGCCTTGTGGCTACCTTAGAGGCTGTCTTAGAAGAAAAAGAGGAACAAACAGCTGTAACTCCATTTACTCTGTTAACGGTCATTCCATTGGCGGTAATGGAGAAAATGCTGGTTAGAGTTATTGCTCTGAGAGTCTCTTAATTATACCATCTGTGGTTCTTTCACATTTTTTTGCCCAAGGAGCTTATAATATCCTATAATTTCTCTTCACAAATATTAGGCTTTTCTCAGATGGACATTCATATCATTTTTAAAGTGAATAAGGGCTGTTGAGATGACTCCTTGAGTAAAGGTGACTGCTGCCAAGTCAGACAACCTGATTCCAACATCTGGGACCTAAATGGTGGAAAGAGAACCAACTCCAAGTTTCTTCAGACCTTCATACATGCATAGGAGAACACATACACAAATATTTTTAATTTTAAGTGAATTAATTAAGATGCTTCACCTAAGAGCACACTCATCTCCATTACTCAGTGTTTCTCACTACAGTGTAGGATATAGGCAAAGTGATTCCTAAATTAATCCTAAGGGATTTTCAGAGAAAAAAGTAGATTTACTACTCTCAGAGTCAGTCACATTGCAGTTCTTAAATTGATGTGGGACACAGGTGGTACTTGTCCTATTAGCAAGAAGACCCTTAAATCCTGCAGCCTTCAGTTCCTACCTGTATGAGTGTGTTTGTCCTGTTTCATAGGTTGTCCAAGAAGCTAATGGTAGTGGCTTGCTCACAGTGTCAGTTAATGGGGAAATTACAAAGATCAATAAATGTTGACTATGCATTGTGTACCATCAATAAAGGGTGAAAATATTTCATAGGCCCTAAAGAACTATACCTTTTCTAAAAGTAGAAAGCTATTTTAAGATACTTGTATCTTTCATTTCATATCTCATGTTACTCTTCAGACACTTGGAATCTTCTGGGGAAGAATGGAGTGTAGACACTTGATAAGACAGTACTTGGTGCTGTATATGGAAAAATGGGGTTTTTAGAGATCTTTAAAATGTGGCAGCTACATTCCCCATGGAGGGATCCTCTCTCAGCCTAGATACACAGGAGGGCCTAGACCCTGCCCCAAATGATGTGACAGGTTTTGATGATCCCCATGGAAGGCCTCACCCTCCCTGGGGAGTGACTGGGGGGGCCAGGGAGATGGTAGGGAGAGGGAACTGGGATTGATATGTAAAATAAGAGTGTTTCTAATTTCAATAAAAATTTATATTAATTAAAAAAGGAAAAAAAGGTGACACCTAAGGAGATGAGTCCTTGGTTAAGAGCATTCAGCTCCATGCATATTCCATGCGACACAAAAATAAAAGTTCTTGCACTGGTGACCACAACATTGGCTTTTCAGCATCATGTATTCAGTAATGATCCTTTTTAAAAATTTTTATGTATATCAGTGTATGTATGTTTGTGCACTATGTGTGTGCATGATGTCCATGGAGGTCAGAAGAGGGCATTGGATTCCCTAGAACTAAAGTTACAGATGGTTATAAACTGCCATGTGGTGCTAGGAATCATACCCGGGTCTTCGGTAGAGCAGCCACCGCACCTAACTGCTGAGCCATCTGTCCAGCCCCAACAATGACATCCATTATCAGTGTCTAATATCAACCTATCCACCAGAAAATAGGTCCCCTTTGTTTGTCTTAATAGAGAAGTCGACATATATGGTTCCCAAATGGATGTATATACAAAGTCTTGGCTGTTGTCATCACAGGATAAAATTTGTCACCTCATGTTCTCCAGTCCTCTCTATCTCCACATCTCCAAACAGTATCATAAAAGTCAGTATGAGGAGATGAAGAAGCCATTGTTTGAAAACCTGTTTATTAGGAAGGTGCTACTGGAAGACAATTTATTAGAAAGAAGCCAGTGAGAAGCCACAACAGACATGAAGGGGATTGGGGGGGTCCTGTGAAGGGCCAGAGGCAACAGATGACAACCACAGGGCTGATATCGCCCCAAGTAACACAACCTGCTGACCAGTCCTAAGTTTAGGTAGTTCACAACATTGTTAGAAAGCAGTTACCAGCATTCAGATAGAAACATTGACAAAGGACAAGATGCTCATTGTAATCCTGTTTAAAGGCCTAGTCCATCTTGAAAGATCAACAGTGAAATTTAAAAATCAAACATTTCCCACTCCTAGATATGTAAGAACCACCTGCTGGCATTTGTACTTAAGTGTCTGAAATAAAACAGGCCAAAATTTCAAAGGCTTGTACAAGGCCTTGATTATTTTGATTTAGCACCAAGTAAAATAAAGAGTACATCTTCCTTGAAGGTAGAGTTGTTTTTTCTTCACGTCTCCTATTTTCTCACTTCCGGCCACAGTATATAAGGACATGTCCTTGCCCCACTAAGGAATCCAAAGTGACCAAAGTTTAGACTGGTTTCTCAGGCCTGGCTTAGTGGTATACACCTGTAATTTAAGCACTTGGAGGTTTAAACAAGAGGGTCATGAACATTAGGCCACCTTGGACTACATCATTTCAAGCTAGCCTGGGCTACACAGGCTGGGGTTGGGGCTAGCTGTGGTGGTCCACACCTTTAATCCCAGCACTTGGGAGGCAGAGGCAGGTAGATCTCTGAGTTAGAAGCAAGCCTTGCTAACATAGTTCTGGACAGCCAGGACTACGTAATGAGATCCTGTCTCAGAAAAACAACAACAAAAAACCACAAAAGAAAAAGACCAAAGGCTGGAGATTACCACAGTGGTAGGATGCTTGCCCAGCACACAAGGCTGGGTTGGATCCACGGTGCTGTAGGTGGACGAGAAGCCTGCTTAGATGGCACAAGAAGAGTTGTTTCCCTTTGGAGCAGGGTGGCAACTGGCAGCACACAGTGATGCCAGCACTGAGAGGCTGAGGCACAGTCCTCAGCCTGAGTGACATGTGAGGACCTAGGGACTATCCACTGTCCTTTGCCAGTGCTCCTCTGAGAGCTCAGTTAACATAAGTCGTATCCCTCAGTACATGCATGTTTGCAAAAGAAAACAAGTCATATCAGTCACGTGTTCTTAAGTGCCAATTGCTGCATTTTCATAGCAGGTTGAAAACTAGTAAATGGAGGACACAGCATGGTGGCCTGTGCCCTTGCTTCTCCTGTAAAGGCCACAGTGAGTTTGTATCTGGCAGCATCTTAAAAATAAAGGCAGTTGCTTTCTTTCTGGCATCTGTAGACAGTATTCTCAAATACCACATCCCAAGGAGCTAGAAAACATTTTTTGGGTTGTGATGGGGCATTGGCTTATGCAAAAGCCTCAATGAGATATTTATCTGCCTCAACTTTTCCAGAAAAACATGAAAATATGATTAACCGCTAACTGAACAGGAGGGTAGACAATTACCAGTTGCTCTTTTAATTCGGCTATAATTTTTTTTAAAGTTTCAACATCTCTGAAGTTCTCTAATTGCAAATCCACAGAATACAACTAGATTAAACATTCAAGGTTATTTTAACAAATCAGCCTTACTTAGTGTCTGACTCATTTGGCACATCCTTAGTAACATCCAAAAGAAAGCCATTAGGAATAAGTCATAATTTTCAGAAAAGTCTTAGGAAAAGAGCTTCAAAAAAACAGAGGCAAGGAGACCCTGCTTCATCCTCCTAATTACTGCCCTCCTCAGGGAGTAACAGAGGCTTTCTGGGTAGTTTCTGGAACTTTTGTCTGTAGGAAAGAATATACATGGGGCCAGATCTTGTTGGTTTCAGTTCCAGAGAATGTTTCCAACACTCCTTTTTTCCTAAAGATGAAAAACAAATAGATAGATAGTAAATAGATTACACAGGTCTGAGTAGTCAGTAGATAGGTAAACAGATTACATAGGTCTGAGTGTGCCTAATGAGCTTTTTCAAAGGAATTTGTAGTCCATGTGACTTTGGAAGCCCTGAGAGCTTAGGTCTCTGATCCAGGGGAAGGAACTTGGATGGACAGTGAAACCTGTGTCCTCTGACATAAGGGGCTCTTTAATACGATGTGAGCTATCATATTGAGCCTGTGCTGCAGGCTAAGACTAATCTAATGCTTCCTGTCTTGTCAAAAGCCTAGATGCTCCTACTTACAGATACCCTTGCCTTCTAGGAAGGGACTCAGTCCTGGGGTTGGCTGGTAAGAAACAGGGCCGTCAGCCACCAGGACATCATCCTGCCTCGCCACTGAAGTCTGAAAGTTTTCTAACACTCACTCTTCCTTTTTACCAAGTTCCTTTCCCCTCTACTTTACCTCCCTGAATCGTTTCCCCTGTCAGAGTTCTCTATGTATCCCTGGCTTATCCCCAGACAGACCAGCCATCGAAGTATTTAATTTTACTCCGTGTTCAGAAGGGGGGAAGGATGAAGTGTGGGGCTCAGAATCCTGGTGTTTGCCTTAAGGTTCTGAACTCCCCTCACCCACACACTTTCCCTGGGTGTGCACACTGGTTTGCAGGTCACCCAAGCGCAGATTTATAATTTGATGTATTAATTTCCATAAATAGGCCGCATAGCTCTGCAGCTGTTCTCACTAGGCTTTCGCCAGGACAAAAGGATCCCCTTGTTGACAACTCACAACATTTGCCATGGTTAAATAACAGGAGCTGTTTTCTGGATGAAAGAAAGCATCTGCTACAGAGAAAAATTATGCCAAGGGAGTATTTACATAGTAGAAGCCCTTTAGTGTCTCAATTCTCAGGCAGGTAGAGCTCTCAGGAGAGCAAGTTTTGAACAAGAAAGCTTGGAGACTCTTTAGCAACAGCTACGGTACCAGGAGTGACACATTACTGAGGCAGAAATAGAGGCACTCTCCTCACGTACGTTTGCCGTTACAATTTCTCTAACTTAATGGAACCAGCTACAAAAATTAGCCTTCCAAAGAGTAAGACCACTACATTTCTAGACAGATGAACGTTCCCCAGCTAGGAAGATTTAAGCTTGTTCCAATAACAAGTTTCTTTCTTTTTTCTTTTTTTGGTTTCTTGAGACAGAGTTTCTTTGTCCTGGAACTCACTCTATAGACCAGGCTGGCCTCGAACTCAGAGATCCACCTGCCTCTGTCTCCCAAGTGCTGGGATTACAGGTGTTCACCACCACCGGCCAGCATGAAATTTCCTTTTAAGGTTCTTTCCTTTTCTTAGTTAAGCCCGTAAGTCTATTCATGAGATCTTAGGTGGAAAAGTTTGAATTTGTGGCAAGAAGTATCAGGCGCCAGGAGCCCAGAAAGAAAGACCCACCAAGTCACTAATTTCTGTAGCTCTCCTCACCCTCCAATCTTGGGTCAGAACTAATCCTTACAGGCACTTCCTCTATGCACAGCCTCCTGGGAGTGTTATTATCTGCCCAGGCACAAGGCGTTCTCTGCTCTGAGTCCTGTGGACCTCCAAGTGGAGCACACTCAGTACATGAGGTTCAAGGGAGAGGGTTCCCACACCCTCTCTTCAACAGTGTGTGGCTGCAGCTCATCACTGCATGACTTTTGCTGGGGGGAAACGTGTCTCTTTTCTGCTGAGTGAGCAGAGCTGGCAGGAGCTAAGCTAAAGTCAGAAGACTTCCCACCCACCTGGGACCGAAGCCAACTCCGGGAATGGAGCTGAAAGGGCTGAGTTCCCCACTCCTTAAGCCCCTGGGCCAGCCATCTGCCATCTGGACTTCTTGGTTATAGGACTAACAATCCCCACCACCCCACCCCTGTTTGCTTAAGCCAGTGTGAATGGTTTCTGAGGATAAGCATGTCTTGCATCCCATTACACCATACATGCTGTTTGCACAGTTTTCCTCTTTATCCATACAAGGTGACTTCCTTGGAGGCTTGTAGGAACTGAGTCTAATCGTCTGCTTAGACAAGGGCCTGCTTGGCAAGTGCCAGCAGAGTACCCAACAGCGGCTGCTTCGGAAGCTGAGGACTGCTCTAAGCCTTTGCAGCGGTTCTCTCGCTCCAAGCTGCTAACAGGTCTATAGAGCAGGGACTATTTAATACTGGCTGACCGTAAGGAAAGAATCAGTAGAACAGAGGAGAAATGCCTTGCCCAACACAAGCTTAAAAACAGCTACTGTAAAAAGTGAGCTGCCAACTCTTGTAATTTCGCCCTCCAGAAATTAACTATTAGAAATATTGGGACAGTTCGGGGACTGGTTCAGATGGTCCTGCATGCTTATCCTAATGCAGCAGTGATGGCCACCATAATTAACAACTATGTCTAGCGCTTCCCATGCATCCAGGACAATTTGATAAGTTACATATATAAACTCACTTTTTTGTTGTTTTTGTTTTTTGTTTTTCTTTTTCAAGACAGGGTTCTCTGTGACTTTGGAGGCTTTCCTGGAACTCACTCTTGTAGACCAGGCTGGTCTCAAACTCACAGAGATCCGCTTGCCTCTGCTTCCCGAGTGCTGGAATTAAAGGTGTGCACCACCACTGCCCGCATAAACTCACTTTCAAGCCTCTAAACTCACCCACATTTTATGAAAGGGAAACCAGGCAGGGCTTATGCAAGAGGCGAAGTTCATGTTAATTAAATAGCAAGCTAGGCTTTGAACTTGGGGATCTTCTCACTCTGGGTCTATGTTCATATTGCAACAGCATGTACTGCTTTGCCCTGAATCGTTAGCAGGATACAGTGAAAGCAAAGCACAATACTCATGTCCTGGAAGAAAGGGAGGGATGGAGGGAGGGAGGGAAGGAGGGAGGGAGGGAGGGAGGGAGGGAGGGAGGGAGGGAGGGAGGGAGGGAGGACAGTAAGCAGACTGCTTCTTGGCCTGAGTGGTGTATCCGCTCAGGGTAGTTCTCATATTCTGTGTATGATACGGACTTCAAAGGCTTTCAAAGACTGTTGAGCTGGGCAGCGGTGGTGCATGCCTTTAATCCCAGCACTTGGGAGGCAGAGGCAGGAGGATCTCTGTGAGCTTGAGACCAGCCTGGTCTACAAGAGCTAGTTCCAGGACAGCCTCCAAAGCCACAGAGAAACCCTGCCTCCAAAAAACAAAAAACAAAAAAACAAAACAAAAAACAAACAAACAAAAAAACCAAAAGACTATTGACCACATAATAATTCTGAGCATCAGTTATCATTTGTAATTCTATGCTTAAGAGAACTCTCTGGGTACATATGGTGGGCTCTACTAGACTTACTACCGCCCCAGCACTGGTTCCAGCCCTCCACCACATGGCAGATTGTAGGTGGAAATGAACTCAAAGCCTTGGATGTGGACCAGCCTATATCGAGCCTCCCAAGCCCCGTGATCGATACTGGAACTGGCAGTAACCCAGGCTTAGAACTGTGAGTATGAGGTTTCCTGACCAGTGGCTGTAGTGTTTCATGTGAGTGATGCTGATGTATAGAGCTTTTGTTCTCCGAATAAAAGGTTTACTCCTCAGCCCTTCAGGAAAGGAAGGCATGGCCTTTCTGGCAAATACCAGCAACTGCGCAGGAAGAACAAAGCCAGCACACAGAAGTGGGGGAAACTAAGAACGGCAAAACTGAGGAAAGCCAGGAGACTGAAGCCCCATCCCGCCTACTTTTGTTACAGATGCCTAGAAATCTCTCTACTGCTTAGGCCAGCTGGGATTGGTGGCGTAGTATTTCAACTGAAAAGTATGGGAAGTCAAAACTGATTGTCTGAGAGCAGTTGAGAAAAGCAAGAACTCACTGGTAATACTGCAGAACCGGCTCTGTCTGGGCTTCATACGCCTTTAGTCTCTTGATGACCGTCTCTGGTTTGTCGTCCTCACGCTGAATCAATGGTTCTCCTGTCAGGTCATCGATGCCCTAAGACAGCCATTAGGACATGAGCTCAGTGATCTGGTACTTTCCTAAGCAGACAGCCTTTGTACTGTAGCACCAATCACAGACATGTGCTAACATTTCAGTAAACAGGATCCAAACTAAAGGTAAACAGATGACTGTAGCAGTGAGAACCCCAGGGTCATTTCCATAGTGCTGTACAGTTTGGACTTGGTCGCCCCTCTCTGTCCCTAGGCCCAAGTCCTCAAGGGTTAGTTCCCAGGTATGAGCTACTGGGAGTTGGTAGACATTCCAACTGTAATCTAGTGTTGCAAATCCTCGCTGCCTCTGCCTTCACTCACACCCTGGCAGAGTATGAAAATCAATACCTTTTTCCGTGTCAGGTTTCTCATTACTGTAACTAATACCGGGGAAAAACAAGTAGAAGGGACCAACTGTTTATTTGGGCACATAGCATCAGAGGGTTCACATCTGTCTTGGCTGCTTGGGCTCATGAGCTTGGACTTCAGGACATCTGGTTGGAGTGTGTATGCCTTCGTGTGTGTGCGCGTGCGTGTTTGTGTGTGGCTTTCTTCATAGGATGCATAAGCAGCAGAGAGGGGGGAGGGACTAAGGATCTGCATAATCTGCGCGGTGCTGCCCCAGTGACCCACTTCCAGCTGTGCTCTATGTCAAAAATGGCACCACCAGTTGGGGACCAAGCAGTCAACCTATTGAGCCTATGGGGGACATTGCATAGTTACAGCATAGCACTTGTGAATGAGGAGCACACCTGTGACAAGAGGAACACAGCTTCACCACTAAGTTTGGGTGGACGAGACCCGTCGAGTAACACCCTAGCAGTCATCTTGGGCGGACAGAGGATGTCCTTTGCCTGTTAGGGTAAGAGACTCGGTCCAGGGTTACAGAACTTTGCCTGTTAGGGTAAGAGGACTCAGAGGATGTCCTTTGCCTGTTAGGGTAAGAGACTCGGGACACTGTGCTGTACGTCAGCCCACTGCAGTTACTCACCACGGTTTTGGGAGGATTGAACTCAATGTTGTACACCCGGCCACTGGCAGGATGAATCCAGCGAGCTGTAAGGCGTTGTTTAATGACCTCAAAGGGAACGTTGAGGTTTATCACTGTGTCTATCTGGTAAACTTTATCCAGGGCTTCTGCCTGTGGAAGTGTCCTTGGAAAACCTTTATATGAGGGGGAGGGAGGAAAAGACAAGAAAGAAAAGGGATTAGTGTTAGGCAAACTGAGCCCAACGAATGAAACCAGGCAGGTGGATCAGAACTGTAATACAACTGTGCTCAAATTTTTTGGTGTCTTCTTGACTGGACTGTAGAGTGCTCAGATATCTGGCCAAACATTCTGAGTGTGCATGTGAGAATGTTGCTGTATAATACATCACATTGCTCTCCCAGGGTGGGTAAGCCTCAGTGAAACAGTTGAAGCCTGTGTAGAAGAAAAGTGACAGAGAACTAACTGCCTGCCTTCCATCATATTTACCAGCCAAACTGAACTGAAGTCAGGTGTGACGGCACGCCTGTAATCCCTTGGGAAGTGGAGGCAAGAGGATCTGGAGTTCTTGGGTGCACGAGACTCTTTCTTAGAAACAAACGAACAAAAGGGGCTGGAGAGACGGCTCAGTGATTTAGAGCACTTGCTGCTGTTGCCTAGGATCCAGGTTCAGTCCTAACACCCACTTGGCAGCTCAAATCCATAACTCCAGTTGGAAGGGCTTTGATTTTTCCTTCTGGTCTCCAAGGACACCAGGCATGCACGTGGTACACATACATAACATGTAAGTACAACACCCATAAATCTTAAATGAAACAAGTGTGAGTCACCACACTTGGTTCTCTGAAACAAATTTTAAAAACAAAACACCAAAACAAAAAATCCTACAAAATAACAACCCCACCCAAAAAAAAACCCCAACAACAACCAAACACAAAGTACCCTCATTCAGTGGCTCACATCACACTCTTTTTCCAAGGGATCTGACACCCTTCTGGCCAACAACACCTGCACACACATGAACACAACGATTTTTAAAATAAGACAGGAATGGTGGCACACTCAGGAGGCAAAAGAAGAAAACTGAATTCTGAATTTGAGGCCAGCCTGGTCTACATAGTGAGCTCCAAGCTAACCAGGGCTACACAGTGAGACCCTATCTTAAAAAAAAAATAAGAAAGGACTTATCAGGAGGACGTCAACTTCACTCAGAATCTCAGAAGGCTATGTTTGGAATATGACAGAAAGCAAAACACAGAGGAGCAGGCCTTGAAAGAAAAAAATTTTTTCCCTACTCCAAACTTTTCCCTACTCCAGAAATCTAGATCCAGTGATGTCAAAAAGTGTCTAGTTTGGGATTCCGGCTGTTTAGGATGCTTGGATGGTAAAGTGTACATATCCGTAAGTACAAACACTCTGAAATAGAAAACATGTGGTCTCAGGCATTTGAAAACTGGGATACCCAGCCAGTGCAGCTAAAATAGTTTAAACAATGTAGAGCAGAAACACAGAGAAAAGCAACTAGAACTGATTACTGAATCCCAAAATAGACACCAGTACGTTGGGGATTGGAAATGGTATTCTGATCCCAAATTTTTTACTTTACAATGTTATGACTAGGAACATTCTGTCCAGAACACATGGGAAATTAAATGGCAATGATACATTTCTAAAGAGTGACAAAGGTTAAAAAAACACATCTTGCTAACCCTGTAACATGGAAAATTTTGCTTATGACTTAAACCTTAAATTATGATAAAAGAACTATGAGTAAAGAACCTGGATTGGGGGGGGGGAATAGTCTCCAAAGAAAGCTATGGCAAGAGGTTCAACCTACAACACTCTAACACTTGAAAAAATAGCAAGAATGTACTATAAAATGTACAATGAAGTAAGTCATCCTGAGAGAAACCATTTTAATATCCTTAATGAGACTAATAGAGCATAATAGGTCATTCCACAGAATGCTTTCAGATGCCAACATCCGTACGTTAAAAGGTTCCTAGGGACCATTTCTTTCAACTGCCCTAACAGTCCTAAGAGACATGCTGTTGTTATCTCCACTCTACAAATGAGGAGACAGGCAGAGCAGCAGCTGTCTCTCATGAAGCTGTTAAGCAGTGGAAGTCACGTGTGATCATAGAGGTCTATCTAACTTGACACCTGCACCTGTAATCAAGGAGTTTACACTAAAAAACAGTCTTAACAGAAATACCTTTCTATTCTTATTACAATGTTCACACTGGTGCTCTTATGGAGGTCCCAGGTTCAATTCCCATCACTCAACCTAGCACCCACAACCATCTGTAACTCTTCCTCCAAGAGCTTGGATGCCTGCCCTTCTCTGGCTTCTATGGGCACCACACACATGTGGTCCACATACATGCTTGCAGGCAAAGCACCCTACACAAACTTTTCAATGTTTATCTTCAACAGCTTGGAATAAAACATCCATTGGGATATAAGACAGGAGAAGACACACAAGGCTATGCATGCAACATCACTCCAAACAGAGAACACCTGACGGCAACCCAAGTGCTCCTCATGTAGGGAATTAAAGTATATGTATGCTAAATGCAAGAAAATGCATGTTTTAGCTCATTGAGACAAACCTGGCAATGGTCATTTAATTCAGTTGCAATGCAAATTGCATAAACTGGTTTATGTGTGTACATTAGCCAGGATTCTCTAGAGGAACAGAACTTAGAGGATGAATACATACATATGGACTTATTAGAATGGCTTACAAGCTATCATCTATTTAGTCCAACAATGGCTGTCTACAGAAGGTCCAAGAATCCAATAGTTGTTTGGTCCATGAGATCACATGTCTTAGCTGGTCTTCAGTGTATGCCAGGTAGGCTGTAATGCCAGGCTTTCCCAGCTCAATGAAATGTTTGTTGTATCTCCTCACAGGAGTACCCCCAACCGTCTCTGGATCCAAAATTTCTAGACCAACAGAACTTAAGGCCATGGGAACAGCAAGAAAAATTTTTCTAGTGGATCAATAGGGACAATAGTGTGTGAAACTATCCCCTTTTCCACTGTCTTAGGGTTTCCATTGCTGTGAGGAGACACCATGACCACAGAAACTCTTAGAAAGGAAATCGTTTAAAGGGGTGGTTTTCAGTTCAGAGGTTTAGTTCATTGTCATCATGGTGGAACATGGCAGCATGCAGGCAAACATGCTGGAAAAGGAGCTGAGAATTTTATATCTTGACCCAAAGGCAACAGGAAATGGACTGTCTCACTGGGCATAGCTTGAGCATATATGAGACCTCAAAGCCCACCTCCACATTAACACACTTCCTCCAACAAGGCCACACCTCCTAATAGTGCCACTCCCTTTGGGAGCCATTTTCTTTCAAACCACCACATCCACCCCTTGATTCCTGGACCTGTAGATCCTGGCTATGAAAGAAACTACCATATACTGGGCACCCAGTCAAAGCACATACTGTCTTCTGGAGAACCCTGCCTCAGCCCTCCAGGCTGCTGCCACTAATTGGCACTGTAACTATGTCTTCAAGGTGCCATTTTGTCTCTGTCAGGCCAACTGATTCGGGATGGTGGGGGACATGGTAAGACTAGTGGATTCCATGATTGTGGTCCCACGGTCTAGCTTCTCTAGCTGTGAAGGGAGTTCCTTTTCACAAGGAAGTGGTCCAGTGTAGTCCACCTGCCACTAGGTAGCTGTCTGGTTGCCTCTAGGAATGGTGTTGTATCTGGGACTCAGTGTTGGTCTCTGTTGTTGGCAGATCTGGCACTCAGCACCAGTTGTAGCCAGGCCAGTCTTGGTGAGTAGAAGTCCATGTTGTTGAGCCCATGCATAATCCTCATCCCTGCCACCATGGCCACTTTGTTTATGTGTCATCGGGCAATGGCAGGGATGGCTGGGCAAAGAGGCTGACTATCCACTGAACAGGTCAACCTAAGTTACTGAACTCCTCCTCTGCTGAAGTCATCTGGTGAGCATTTACATGGGACACACACAAGTATCTTCATGTCCTTTGCCATTTGCAGAGATCTATCCACTTACTTCTTTCCCAGATGGCTTTCTCATCAATTTTCCAATCATGGTCTTTCCAGGTCCCTGACCATCCAGCCAATCCATTGGCTACAGTCCATAAGTCAGTGAGCAACCGTACATTTGGCCATTTATCCTTCCAAATAAAATACATGACCATATGCACTGCCCTAAGTTATGCCCACTGTGAAGATCTCCCTTCACAGGTGTCTTTCAGGGTTTCCCCCAGAAAGGGGTTGTAATACCACAGCTGTCCGCTTCTGAGTAATGTCAGCATAATGTACAGAACCATCAGTACCAAGCCCTAGTCTTCCCTTCCTCGGGGCACACCCCCATGAGACTATAGGTGCATGATTGGCAGCAGATGTAACAGGAGTAGAAACCATAGGCATGTAACTTGATTGTGCCTCCAGGACCTGCTCAGGTCTGATCACCTATATACCACTTCCATTTGCTAATAGATCGCTGCTGTCCATGTCCTACTTTATGACTTGGTGTGTCAGATAACACCCAGCTCATGATGAGCAGCTCAGGTCACCTGGTAATGCGGTGACCCATTGTCAAATGTTCAGTTTCCACTAAGGCCCAATCGTAAACCAAGAGCTGTGTCTCAAAGGGAGAATGATGTCTGCAGATGATGGTGGAGCCTCTGAATGGCAGAGCACTCTTCACTGAATCCTGGACCTGTTGAAGAGCCCACACAAAGCTAGCAGCGTTCTTAGTCACTTGGCACATGAGCGGGAGTAACTCAGTAAGTGAGGAATGAGCTGTCTCCAGAATCCAAAATGGTCCACTAAACAGAGTGTTTCTTGCTTGGTGGTTGGAGAAAGCTGAGTGCAATACCTTCTCCTCCACTTCAGAAGGGTTGTCTCTCCTTGCACCACTGGACTCCTAAGAATTTCACTGAGACAGAAGGTCCTTGAATTGTGGTTGGATTTATTTCCCATCCTCTGATATGCACGTGTGTTACCAATGAGTTCAAAGTGGTTGCTCCTGCTCACTTGGCTCAATCAGCAAAATGTCATCCATATAGCGCACCCGTGGGATATTTTGTGGAAGAGACATATGATCAAGATCTCGTCTAAGTAAGTTTGATGACACAGGGCTGGAGAGTCAATATATCCTTGAGGCAAAACCGTAAAGGTATACTGCTGGCCTCAGCAAATTTCTTCTAGCGCCCCTTATGGACAGGTCCCAAGAAAAATGTATTTGCTAGATCAATAGCTGCATACCATGTACCGAAAGATATGCTGATCTGCTTAAGTAAGAACGCCACATCTGGTACAGCAGCTGCAAGTGGGGTCACTACTTGATTGAGGTTTTGATTGTCCACTGTCACTCTCTATGATCCATCTGCCTTCTGCACTGGCTACATAGGAGAGCTAAAGGGAGATGTGGTAGGGACCACCACCCCTGCATCTTTCAAGTTCTTGGTGTTGGCACTAATTTCTGCAGTTCCCCTGGGGATGCGATTCTGCTTCTGATTCACTATTTCCCCTGGCAGAGGCAACTCTAACAATTTCATTTACCCTTTCCAACCATAATATTCCTCAGTCCACAGGTGGGAGCCACTATGAGAATTCTGCTAACTTCTAAGTATATCTAACCCAATTATATATTCTGGAACTGGGGAAATAACCACAGGATGAGTCTGGGAACCCACTGGACCTACCGTGAGTCGGACATCAGTCAAAACTCCATTAATCTGGCCTCCATAAGTCCCTACTTTAACTGGAGGGCCACAATGTTTCTTGGGATCTCCTGGAATCAATGTCAATTCAGAACCAGTATCCAGCAGACCCCAGAGAATCTGATTGTTTCCTTCCCCTCAGTGTACAGCTAACCTTGTAGAAGGTCATATGTCCCCTTGGAGAAGGTCATATGTCCCCTTGGAGAAGGTCATATGTCCCCTTGGAGAAGGTCATATGTCCCCTTGGAGAAGGTCATATGTCCCCTTGGAGAAGGACTAGAGAAAGGCTAACAGTAATTCTTTTATGTATTTTATCAAGGTCCTTCCTCAGGGGAACCTGGCCATCCTTATATTCAAAGGGTTCTAGACCTGCAACCTGCTCAAGTCTGGAAATTGGTTCACATGCCAAGATAACCTTTTGCTGTCATCCAATGCAGCCTTTCTTTCATTTGTTTGAGAAATTTTCCATTTACACAGATCAAACAGAAAGGCAGTAGGCTTCTTATCTGTTTCATGGCTGGAACACTGATTGATTAGCCAGTACCAAAGGTCCATATGTGTCACACCACCATAAAAATCACCTTGCCTGTGCTGACCATTAATGGATCAGGCCGTTATAGACATTGCTTTGCCTATGCTGCCCATTACGGTAACTACAATCGCTTTGTCTCTGGCAATTCAGTACTGCCACTTGGCCTCTGCTACTTTGGGGCCCAATTAAACACACTGCATTTAGTCTATCCAGCTGAGAAGCAGTCTCCAACCCTAAGAGCTGGCACAAGGAAAGACAAGGAAAGGGGTGACAGCAAAGTTCTTCAAACATACTGGTGCCCTTCTTACCATTTGTGTCTTACGGGACTAATAAAGGGCATGTATTCCGGGCCTTCCCATTGTGGAGGATTAGGTTTTACACAGCATACCCACTCCTTTTTTCCTGAGACACGGTTTCTTTGTGTAACAGCTCTTGCTGTCCTGGAACTCACTCTGTAGACCAGGCTGGCCTCAAACTCATAGAGATCACCTGCCTCTGCCACCCAAGTGCTGGGATTAAAGTTGTGCGCTAACACCGCTAGCCTACCCACTCTTAACATTGCAATTTCCCTGAGTCTTAAAATTCCTTCATCAACATTAAGCCAAGGGATATCAAGCGCCTCTAACTCCTTCTCAGTAGGCCGCCTTCGGATACACTTCAGCCAACCACTCAGACAAACTTTTGACACCTTTTTCAACTGTGTGAGCTTCCATATTAAACCTAGAATCTCCACACAGTGAGTTCATATCAATAAACTCAGCCTGATCCAGTTTTAGGTTCCTTCCACTATTATCCCACACCCTGAACATCCACCCATTCCACACATATTCCCCAGACTTCTGCTTGAATGAATTAGCAAACTCATGAAGCTCTTTAGTAGTGTAGTACACCTCCTCATGAACTACACTTTCTGTCTCCAGGAGACTGCTTAGCCTTAAGTCTGGTTATAGGACTATAGGCAACTATTGCCTTGCCTGGCACGTCCTTCAGAGAAACTTACGGCTGGTTTAGCAGATAATGAAGGATTAATTTCCTCAGTTAAGGGAAGAAAAGGCATATATCTGGAGGGGGGGTGGAGGTGGGAATACATCTTCTATTGAGGGTGGAGAGACTATGTCTTCAGGTGAGATAAACCCTTGAGAACCTGAGGGTTCAAAAATTCTCAATCCCAATGGAGGCCCCCACACATCCCTATCCTACTACAGGCTCCCATTCTTTGCCAATTAATGCCCTTACTTGAACCACCAACACCCTCCAAGGCTGGGACTTAAATTTTCACTGTAATTCAGTCAACCTCATAATGAGGGCTCTTGTTTGATTTTTTGAAACTTTAAGTTCTGTGGCCTCTGGAGAGAAAATTCTCATTCAGGACATACATAGAAAGCTTTAGACCGTTTATGTGCACCTTGAGTTTGTTAATTTTATCAGTGAGTTCATTGTCCTTCACCATATCCTGAGATAACAGAAGTTGGCTAACTTGATCATGGAACTCATTCTTTTCCTTTGTCAATTTATCCAGCAATGCCAGGAGCAACTGACTGGCAGCATCATTTCCCTTACGTTTCCATAAATTGTCAAAAGTTTAATATACAGAGTCACCAAATCCATTTTGTCTCTTACAATTGGTGAATCAGATAATCAAATACACTCATCTCCTTAAGTCTGTTTGGTTTGGTGGTTTTGGTCTTTGTTTTTTTGAAGACAATGTTGCTCTGTATAGCCTTGGCTTTCCTGGAACTTGCTCAGTAGACCAGGCTGGCCTCAAACTCACAGAGATCTGTCTACTTCTGCCTCCTGAGTGCTGGGATTAAAGGTGTGCACCACTACTGCCTGACTATTTTTCCTCCTTAAGTTTGTAAAATAGTTCACACTGTGGGCTTTCAGTACTCTTTGAGCTTCTAGGGCAGGCTTCAGGAACTGAAAAGGCTTTGGTGAGTATTAGCAAATTGGAAAGCCTATTCAAGATACTTTTTAAAAATTTATCCTTATACTTTCTGTTACTCTCAAATCACTTCTGATACCGAAATTTGTATCTGTATTAGTCAAGATCCTCTAAAGGAACAGAACTTACAGAAAAAAAAATATATATGGGATTTATTAGGATGGCTTACAGGCTGTGGTCCATCCAGTCCAACAATGGCTGTCTACCAGCAAAAGGTCCAAGAATCTGTAGTTGTTCAGTCCATGAGGCTGGATGTCTCAGCTCGTTTTTAGTGTATACCAGACTCTTGAAGAAATAGGCTCCAATACCAGTGATGGAGTGAACACTTCAGCAGCAGAGCAAGGGCAAGCAGGCAAAGAACCAAAGCCTCCTTCTTCCATGTCCTTTTCATGGGCTGCCAGTAGACCGCATGGCCAGATTAAATTAGGTCTGCCCACCTCAAAAGGTCTGGATTAAAGGTAGGTCTTCCCGCTTCAAATGATTTAAGAAAAAAGTCCCTCATTGGTGTATCCAGCTGCTTGGGTTTCAGTTAATTCCAGATGTAGTTGACAACCAAGAATAGCTGTCACAGCATGTATCTGTGTGTGTGTGTCACAGTTTGGATAATAAGTTATATCCCCCCAAAAGCTTATGTGTTAAAGTCTTGGTCCCCACTTGGTAGATCCAGTCACTGAGAGATGGCTGTGATTACACTGATGAATTAACCCATACATACAGTCAATGGTGTCATGAAGGGAGGAGCCTCAATTCAGTCACACTCTCAACAAGGCCCAGAAACAACACGGGCAGGAGCATGAACTGAAAATTCTGAAGCTAGAAGCCCAAATAATACATTCAGGCAAAACACCAATGCACACAAAATAAAAATAAATCAAGGAAAAATGTTTTTTGTTTTTGTTTTGTTTTGTTTTGTTTTTTAAAGAACCAGGCCCTTGGGCTTGGGATATAGCCTGCCTACCATTCAGGAAGCCCAGAGTTCAATCACCACATAAACAGGTTTGGCCACCCATTCTTGTAACCCCAGCACCTGAGAGGCAAAAACAGAGGATCAAACATTGTAGTTCATCCATACATAGCATATTGGAAGCCAGTAGGGGCTACATAAGACCTTGCCTCAAAATAAGTTAATTCAATCTTAAAATTACTCACTCAAAGGTGACTGGCTGCCCTCCTGATGACTGTCCCTTGTCCCAACTGCTCTTTCTTTTGCCGGCACCCATTATTTCAGGCAGCAGAGATTGCTCTGGATACTGCATGTGTGCACTTACCATCCAACAGCCAGCTACACTGGGTGAGGTTTTTCAGCTCGTGAAGGGCCAGTCGCGTCATGACATCATCTGGGATGAGCTTCCCTTGGTCAATGAAAGTCTTGGCCAGCACACCAATTTCTACAGCAAGGGAAAAGCCAGTAAGTGTGTTTGCTTTATCCGTTTTCTACGGGATGTTTCCGGAAGTCAGGCCCATGAGCAAGTGCGTTATCAGCAGCTTTTCTGCTACAAGCAGAGGTTCCCTGGACACAGTGGCATACATCTGAAATACCAGCAGGAAGGAGGATGTCAAGTTGAAGGCCAGCCTCAGGTACATCTGTGGGGTTGAGGCTAGTTTGTGCTACAGAGGGTCCTGTCTCAAAACAAGCAAGCCAAAGGGAAGGGAAGATAGTGGCGCTGCCCCAATCTAGTCACATTTCAAGTTCCAGGCCATCCAGGGCTTTATAATGAGACGCTGGTACTGAACTCACATGTGTACACACAGACAGACACAGACACACACACACACACACACACACACACACACAAAAGAAATTTTGAAAGCAACTAAATAAAACAGACTTTAGAAAGTTCCATGTACTTAATATATGTAGACCTCATTTGTTTCTTCTGACCACTTCTTTTTTAAAAGAAAAAATTATGTGTAGGGTCTTTTGTCCACATGCATACCTGGTTCCCAAAGAGGCCAGAAGAGAGCCTCAGATCCCCTGGAGCTGGAGTTAAAGATGGTTGTGAGCTATCGTGTGGGTACTGGGAAGCAAACCCGGTCCTCTGCTAGAGGAGCAGTTCTCTTACTGACTGAGCCATCTCTGGAGGGAAAAGGGACCAGTCAAAGAAACACACCCTGAGCAGAGCCAAAGAAACACACTTTGGCCCCGCAACCAGAACCAAAGAAATGTACCCTGACCCTGAAACCAGTGTCAAAGGAACACACTTTGTCCCTAGAATCTGAGTCAGTGAAAAAATGCACCCTGGCCCTAAAATTGGAGCCAAAAGCTAAAAAGGACCAGAGAAAGAAACACACTTTGGCCCTGAAACCAGAGCCAAACCTGACCTTAATCCTATGCAGAAAATAACCAATCCTCGAGCAGAGCCAATTGAGCTCAGCACTGAAATCGGACCAATCCCTACTCTAGAAAAACTTCCCCGCCCCCAAGAATCCCTACATAAATCCTGTGTATGTTCAGCTTGGCTGGTCCAGCTGCTTCTGTCCAATAAACCCCTTCGATGAGCTTTGGGTGAAGGTCTTTTGCAGAGGTGACCCTGGGCAGAGCAGAGCAGATCGAGCAGGGCTGTAACACTTGCCCGGGAAACCTTCCCTTGGCAGAGTGGCGTTGTTACACTCTGCTCTCCCGGAGCAGAGCTGAACTGTAGCAACTTTGCCCAAGAAACCTCCTGCCGAGCAAAAAAACTCCTACACTGGGTGAACATCACCAGCTGGAAGACCCTGTCCTGCCAGAGCTGAGCCAATACACTGGGGAAGCCTTTCTCTGAGGCAAGGCTGTAAGCTGCTAACCTTACTGCAACCTGTGGTGGACCTTGGCTCCCCAGCTCCAGGATACCTTTCCATCTGAGCTGTGTAACACTCAGTATCCTTGGCTCCCGAGCTCCAGGATACCTTTCCACCTGAGCTGTGTAACACTCAGTGTTCTGTGACTCCCGAGTTCCAGAATACCTGACCCATTCCTGTTCTATCCTGTCCCGACCCATCCCAAAACGCTTACAATCTCTCCAGCCCCTGCATGTTCTTTTAACTCTTATTCTACCCCTACGTAGTTATAAAACTTTCAGATATTGAATATTTCACAAGAATTACATTTTAAAACAAGCTATCTCCCTCAACCATAGCTCCTTCCTCAGTGAAACAGCTTGAAAGCCTTCCTTTCCAGACCTGTCTCCTGCTTCCTCAATTCAGGACAGACTTTCAGCCCAGGTCCACAGGTCCGGCAGTGGCACAGCCCTTGCCTAGCACGCACATGGTCCTGTGGTCTGCCCTCACCCACCTTTCCTTCCAGGCACTCCCCCTACCGGGTATTAACAAACTTCAGCAAGTCCCTTGTGTTAGGATTCAGGCATTATGCTGGCCTGCCCCATCACCTCGGAGGATGCACTCAGGCAGTACCCTGACCAGCCCAGGGTCCTATGGATGCTATGTCACTACACAGTCTGCACACAGGTGCAAAGGTCCCTTTAAGGGGGCAAACTGTGCCCACTTCTGCTCTCTCTTTCTCCGCTGTTTCTCTGAAGGAGCCAACAGGACTTTTCCTGTCTCCTTCTCTTTCTCTCTCTCTCCCCCCCTCCCTCTCCTTCCTCTCTCCCTCAATAAAACTTCCCTACCTGATTGGTGTGTTTGTCCCTCCCCCACAATGGGATCTGTCACGGTCCCACCTCAAGCTGTATTATAACACCTTGCTCCTTCTTTTGATAGGTAATAGGACTCTTCACCAGATTTTGGATGTGGTTTATCCAAAATAAGCAAATCAAGATACAGATATGTGTTAGGGTAGTCAGACATTCATTAGCAGAAGTCATTATAAAATCTGGTGCCCAGAGAAACAATGTTGAGAGGAAGCAGACTCCCCGAGGTGTCTGGGTCCTGAGTCCACCCTCATGAAGAGATCACGGTGCTGGGCAAATTCTCTGGCAGGGGGTCCTAGGTAACTGCTTGTCCAGGTTTTTCTCTTCCTCATGCACCCACATGCTCTTCCACTCTCCCGAATGGGATAACCCAGCACAGACCTTTGCCACTGCAGCCACCAGATCTTGGCACTGCCGACCCCAACAACTGTGCACTGGATAAGCTTTTATTGTTCTTTTTTATAAACTATTTAATGTCTAGTCAGGCGGTGGTGGTGCACACCTTTAATCTCAGCATTAGGGAGGCAAAGGCAGGCAGATCTCTGTGAGTTGGAGGCCAGCCTGGTCTTCAAAGAGAGTTCCAGAACAATCTCCAAAACCTACCAAAAAAAAAAAAACTTTGTCTCGGAAAAAAAAAAAGAATAAAAGAAAATTCAATGTCTAGTCTTTGGTTATAACAATGAAAATAGAAATTATTTTAAAAGACTCCTATGGCAAGAAAACCTCAACCTCCTAGGTAACCAAGTTCCCCTCTAGGCTCCTGTAATGCCATAAGTGCTCTAGAGCTCACTCTGTGTGTGTGTGTGTGTGTGTGTGTGTGTGTATGCACACACATGCTCGCTCAAGTGCGTGCTCTCTCTGTCTCTCTTTTTCCCTCTCTCCCCTGAAGTCACATGCTAATCCTACTATGAACTGAGCAGTCCCAAGTCCATATACTGAAACTCTAACCGAACCCGTACTGTGACTATATTTAGACTACTTACCTTTAAGAAGGTAATTACTGTTGAATGGGGTCATAGGGTGGGGACTCCATCTCATGGAAACTGTAAACACTGAGGGGAGACAGCAGGAGTGCCGGAGGACAGAAGAAAGGCCACAGAGTGACCTGTGGCTGGTTACCTGCCAGGAAGGCAAGCCTCACCAGAAACCACCACACTTCCAGAGCCTTGATCTTGCACCTCTAGGCTCCAAAACAATTCTGCTGAGTCACCAGTCTGTGGCGTGCTATTATGGCAGTCACTGTGACTAATACACGTATCCACGTGCCCCGACTGTGAGCACCTTCAGTGAAATCCCCCACTCTGTGTGCATGCCCAATGGGCCCACAGACCACAGGGTAGATGGATCGGGATGAGGGCATAGACGAGGGTCAGGGTGTATCTAAGGTCTAACTATGGTGTTTTATTAAATAAGTAATCTATGAATTTGACTCATATGCATGAAAACATCCAAAGGAAACCCTTTGTTTTGTATATGGAAAATGAAAAAAAAAACCAACAATTTAGCAGCTTACTTTTTATGGCAGTAGTCCTGAACCAAAGTCTCTTTTAAAAATTGCTCTGAATGACTCCGATACAAAACAATGGAAAAAAAAGGAAGCTAATTCAAATATCAACTAGACAAAGTGTAAAACATCCATACAATACAATAAAAAGTAACCAAGTCCTAATAGTACAGCATGAGAGGATCTTTAAAAGCCTAAGCCAAGCTGGGCACAGTGGCATTCACCCTGAGTTTTGTTACCCAGGAGCCTGAGGTAAGAGGATCACTTGAGCCGGGAGTTCATGTCCAGCCTGGGCAACACAGTGTGACAGTCTCAGAACAGCATTCACAGCTCAGAGGTCAAAGAAGGTTGCCACTGAACTTTATACCCTGAGCTGAATTCCTGGACCCACATCACAGAGTGACTCTCCACCCACCCACAAGTTGTCCTCTGACCTCTGCATACATACCATGGCACATGTATACACAAGTACACATACACTCTAAGCAAATGGATATAGTTAAGAAAAATAATGTGCTAAGTGAAAGAAGCCAGAGAGAAAAAGCCCATAGACTACCATTTCATTTCTGTGACATGTCCAGAAAGTGAGAAAAGAAAAGACATAATAGTGCTGCCAGAGGCTTAGGTGGGGTGGGTGGAGATAGGAGTGACTCATAGGTATGAGGTTTCTTTTGTGGGTAATAAAAATGTTCTGAAGTCTGTTGTGGTGACAGTTCCCCAGCTCGGTGACACACTAAATGCACTGGATTTTATATACGTGCACTCTAAATAAAGCTGAAGTTGCATGGCAGTGAGTGTTATCAGCAAGGCGATGCTAGGGGAGAAATGTAACGCTCCTGGAGAGCATACTGTTGACCGCTGAAGGGTCTGTCCTTTATGGACCTGTGTTAGCCCCAAGTCACATATGCACGAAATATCTTACAAGGCTCTCATCACTAAAGATTTGTCTCGATGTGTACATGCATCGACTATTACAAACTACCATTATAAAAATAACCTGTTCTCCCATCAATCTAAGTCTAGTATATACACTATGCTCCATGGTCCACTTGATGATGCTTGGCCATATGGAGGATACTTGGGGGCCCAAGATTATCTACTGAGTAAGCCTCTCCCAACATACAGATGATAGCAAATGAGACTGAAAGCATCTTTCCTCTCATCTGGCACCACAGATGAAACACCCACCAAGGAGCCAGACTAGGCTACCACACATATGCTCACCTTGTGACATCTGCCACATCTGAATTACTATGTTTCCTTTAATCAGCATACCCTCTAAATGAGCTAAAATGTTCACAAAACATAAGCTCTTCTTGGCAAATATACCTTGAAATATCTAAAATGACCACATGAACCTCAATTTGGGAAGTATTGCTCTGTGGAAAGAATATATAACTGACACCCAGGGCCTGGGTTTCCACCCTGGTACCAAGGAAATGCTTTTTATTTTCATTTTAAGTTTTGTGTATATGAGAAGGAGTTCACGAGTCTGAACCTCACCCTGGTCTGGGCCCAGACTAACAGTCTATAGCATACCAGCTTCAGGATCCGTGCTGCCCAGGTGAGTGCAGGAAGGAATTCCCCAATCTTTGTGACAGTTGCTTTTCTCAAGAAAGGAATGGGAGGATTACAATAACAGTGTAAGTCTCAGACTCAGACCTTCTGGCTCCACTGTCCTGGTCGGTGCTCTAGGGTCTCAGGTCTGCTACAGTCACCAGGTCACCACCGAGTGTTTCCAAAGCCATTATTGTCTGTCTTGAGCTGTTTTTCTCACGTGCACTTTTTGTTTTCATGAATACTGTGTACAGCCTGCATTTTAAATCAAATATAGAGCGTGGAAGGTGTCTAGGTTCAAAAATGGGTAAAGGTGTAGCGACACTGCTGGAAGAACTAGATTCTCCCACATTTTAGACTATATAGTCAGTGTTATAAAATAGCACTTTCGTGAAATGATGGTGAGTTCCTCAAAATGCCACACTTGGAATTCACTCAAAGGAAAATAAGCCAAGTTGCAGCCGGCTATTTGGGTACCCAGCAGTATTTATTACAGCCAAGAATGGTAAATCAGTAGGGGTCTGGAGAGCCAGCTCTGGGGCACAGTGCTTGTTTGACATATATATGGCTCCAGATTTGGTTTCTGATACCAAAATATAATATATAATTTTTTAAAAAAATCTAATAACAGGTAAAGTTTAAATTAATTTGCAATCTTCCTGAAATTAAGTCTGAGATTTTATATATAACAGATGAGAATAAAAAAGCATCTAATAACAATTGTACAACTGCACACAAATGCACCAAGGAGAAAGAAAAGAATAAAGGAGAACATACCAAAAAACTAATCAATCATGTCCCTGGTGAGGCCAACTTCCAGGATGTCAGTTTCCTCTTCTGAATTCTCAGCCTTTTCTTAAAATTTTTTTAAAGATTATTTCTCCCTTGGCTGTTTCTGTGGGAAATATCCAATCCTTTCACAAATATTTATTGGGAATATATTCTCAGTCCTGACCCATGGGACCTGCTGGATACCATTTAGTGAAAAAATACTCTGCATAATGACTATTAACATCTGTGAAAACATCTCATGACATCCCTCCCCCCAAGCTTCTTCTTCAGTCCCTGCTAAGTAACTGCCCATACTTCTTTGAAGAATAAGTGACCCCACCATTCCGTGACCTGCCAGTTCCGGATTTCAGGCATCAGCTAGATGAGCCAAACTCAGTGTAAACCATCCTTAGGGGCCTGGCTGGGGCTTCCCTCTGAGATCTGTAACTTTTCCCAGCTGATCAGAGACTAACGCCCTGTGTGTACCTTGAACTTTGACCAGCAAAGACTTCTCTCACAAACTTTAGTTCTAGCAGGGCCTGGTAGATCTGCAAATCCCAACACACATGAGATTGAGGCAGGAGGATTGCTACAAGTTCAAGACCACCCAGAGGTACTGTGCAAGACTGTTAAAACAAAGAACCACCAACTTCTGACAATGAATCTTTGTGGTTTTAAGAAAGTATTTGCCCATGTCTTAAAAAAGAAAGGAGGTACCCATTAAAACTTCAGAAGGAGAGGCTGGAGGGATGGCTCTGTGGTTAAGAGCACCAACTGTTGTTCCAGAAGACCGGGGTTCAATTCCCAGCACCTACATAGCCGCTAACAACTGCCTGTAACTCCAGGAGCTGACACTCTCACACAGACAGACATCCAGGCAAAACACCAATGCATACAAAATGAAAATAAGTAAGTTTAAAAACACTACAGAATGAGCTGCTGAACATCTTTGTGTGTCCCCTCCATGTCACAGAGTTTCAACACCTGACTCTTTCACAGGCTTAAAGTGAATTAAGGAGCATTGTTTCTTTATTCAAATGCCCTCTCATTGTTCTATATTTTCCTACAGCAGTGTATATTCTTTGCCACCTACGGTCAGGTGAGCGCTGACTCAGCCTGAAGGTCATTCCTAAAGTCTTCTGTACTTTGGATAGCAGCAAACCAACCAGGCAGTCTCCAGGACTGGGGACTGTTTGCCCTAAGTAAAATTGCAATCTGTTGCACTAAAAACATGTAGCAAGAGTCAAACAACCTTTTGATAAAGTTTAATTAACTGCAACCTTTACTATTTTTTAAGGTCACCATTAGTAGGGAGCCAAAACACACTCCAGGGGTGCCGGGGAAGCCAACCTGAGAACCTGAAAACAGTGGGTTGGGTTTCTTCTCCCCTATTTGAATGTCAGTATCTTTTAAACAAAAACAACAAAAAAGCACCCTTTCCTGGAAAGTATACACCCATCAGGAGGGAGAGGACAGGTTAAATAAGTCATGGTAGATTCAGCAAACTGGTGGTTAAACTCACCGGGTAATGGACATATGGGTGAGGGACCAGATCAGAGTGTGAAAACGACTGCTGAGTAACTACATCGTAACATGATACACAGAGGATATACGCATGTGCCTGCACATAGATACTTCAGGAGGAAATGCATTGTTTCTCTCTGAAGAACAGGGCAGGGGCAGGACTAAGAAAGCTTTGCTGTTTACTTTCTTTCCTTCGGTCTTCCCTTCTCTCTAGGACCTTTACTTTTTCCCTTTCTTTTCTTTTATCTTGAACAGGTACGATATCTACGTAAATAAGTTTCTAATGACTTTCAAAATAGGCACTAGTTGGGAATTGAAGGTCAATGCTATTTTGAAGAAAACATCTGGTGTTAGCTTTTTAAAAATAGCCTACAGCTGTTAGTTGGCTGGCGCCTGGTAATCCCAGCACTCACTAGGGAGGCTGAGGCAGGAGGATCCCAAGTTTAAGTAAAAATTGACCTTGAGTACATCGAATGACACTGTGTTTTAAAAAAAAAAAACTTAATGCTTTTCTTAAAGTACAATTTACCACAAACCCACCCACTGTGAAGTGTAGTTTGTTGAGTAGATTTTATGCTGAGTTAGAAGAATTTAGCACGAGAAACACAACAATCGTTTAGGTAACCATGCAGAAGGATAACTTTAGTGCCCAAGAAATGTCTGGGGGCATCAAAATTTAAGCCAATTTCGTGACTGCAAAGTAATACTTGACCTTGAAGAGAGAAAGGTCAGAACTACAAGATCCCACGGAGCTTACCAAGGGCGGGAGGGGAGTGTAGAAAAGAAAGCTAACTGTGGCAGAGCCAAAGCCTGCCTTCTGCATACAAGTACACGTGGAGAGCCGGGCACAGTTCCCCAGGCTGGACCCCCGCAGTATCTGCCAGCCGGTAGGATGTGCCACTCGAACAAAGCCGAGGGCTTTCCTTCTGTCTTTGAACTTCTTGGTTCCACCCCTGCAATCTACCCGAAGCTGCCCCCGGAGGCTTCGGGGCGCCGTGGCTGTTTCCCCAGGGGACGTCAGGGAGCGCTGCAGGACCCTCGACCCCGGCCCGCAAAGCCCCTCCGGGACATCGCACTCTGCCAGCCCTTGGTCTCAGCTCCCACCTGTGCCCTGCAGCATGTTCTGGCGGAGGAGGTCCCCACTGGAGAGGTGCTTCAGCTCGAAGTGTTTGGTGATGCGTGACGACACGGTGCCCTTGCCGGAGCCCGGGGCCCCCATGATCACGGCGCGCAGCAGCCGCCCCGACGCCCCCATGGTGACGGACGGTGGCCCGAGCTGCACAGACGCTTGGCTGCGGCCTGGCCTGCGCGCTCACGGGCTCCCCGGCCCCAGCGAGCTGGCAGCTGCGAGCGGGCGGTGGCCAGAGCTCCCGGCTCTCCCGGAAGTGAGCGCTGGTCACCGGGGGGCCGCCCCGCCCGCTGCTGCACCGCCCCTCCGCGCCGCTGCACCCCACTCCCCTCGGCTCCTCCCCGCGCCTCTCGGCATCCCCAGACCCTCCTGCTCTGTGCTGTCTGGTCCCGACCCGCAGTCTGTGCCCGACTGCATTCTCCCCGGTGGGCAACCTCTGAGAGCCTCTTTCTACTTCTGGTCGCCACTTGGCACCTCTAGGTGGCTGGATTTCATTTTCTGTGTTCATCTTTGTTCACCTACTCAGGCTCTGACCTACTCAGTTCCAACAGGAAGCAGAGTGCCCCATTGTGTGGCCCCTCTGTTCCCCTGGCTTGCCAACCCCCCCCAAACACACACACACACACACACACACACACACACACACACCTTTTCATGACAATACTCGATTCCCCCTCCCTCTCCCTTTTCACCCCATTTCCTTCCCCTCCCAAGAGTGACCTTGAACCTTTTTCATTGAAGTTCTCACCAAGTGAAGTACTGACCCAGGTCTGTGAAAGGTGTGTCTTTATCTCCCAGAACCACGTGCAGAACCAAAGGTTACTGTGCAGAGGTCAAAAGTACTAGTTCCTGCAGAAATGCACTCATTTCAGGAATATTTATCCAGTGTCTGTTGTTTGCCACAGTTCTTAAGGGCCTCCCAGAATACTGTGCTGAACAAAACCGAGGTTTGTGCTGCTGGTGACTTTAAAAGTCTAGTGACAGAAGCAAATGAGTGAGACCGTTATAAACAGTGCTGTGGGGGAAAAACAAAACAAACAAACAAAAACGTAATCCCAGCACTCAGGAGGCAGAGACAGGAAGATCTCTGTGAATTCAAGGCCAGCCTGGTCTACAGAGCGAGTTCGAGGACAGCCAGGGCAACACAATGAAACCCTTTCTTGAAAACAGCAGCAACAATAAAAACAAGCAAAAGAACAGAAGGTGTAGGAGGGCGGGAGGGTGGGGGAAGCTGTTTTAGAACAGGTAGCAGGGACGCTCGTGAGGCATGGCCGAATATATATACTGAGCTGAAGGCAGAGAAGAGTGGCGTAGGCCAAAGGCAAGGCCCAACTGCTCGAAGTCTGGCATGCTCCTAGAAAAGGCAGAAGAGAAGTAACTGGGTAGCATTTTATCTATAAAATGGACACCGCTTAGTGTGGAGCAGCCCATTTGAGTTGCCTGTGCAATACCAGGTTCTGGGCTAGCACTCGGAGGAGATTGCCATATGGCATGGTTTATTTGTGCTGGATGCAGGGAGGACAGAAAGGAGTCGCTAAAAGGTAACATCACGTGTCAGAGGCTGCCAAATGACAGATTCAAAACGACTTGGAGTTTCCAAGTAGAAACTACTTCCAGGGGAAAAAGTGGCAAGGTTTACTTGCTCAGAGAGAGGACCTGATCTGGATGACAAGGTGAGGCAGACAGCCCTGTACTTAAAAAGAAACAGTGGCTCTTACATAGTTATTGCTGCACGAGAAAGAATAAAGGTGATTAAATTAAACAGCCATTGCCTGCGTGCGGGGTTGGGGAAGGAGCTTGAGAGAGACCCAGCGAAAGCAAAGGAGAGGAATCAGTAAATAACAGGCAAGAATGGAAAGGCCTGGGCAAGACAGGTTACGCAAGACCAGACCCAGAAAACCTGATGGTGGAGAAAACATCTCTAATCTCCGAAGTTGGCAACATTGTGGTTTCGGCCCTCAGAGACACTTGAAAATAAATCTTTGGAAGTTTGGGTTATGAGAGGGGAAAAAATGCTCAAACAAACAGCGGGTGAAACAGCTAAGGGTCACCAGCACCACAACAAACATACTCAAGCCTGGACAGAAGTCATAAGCTAGTTGTTGTCTTGGAGCTAACCTTCTATTGGAGGTAGAAGATGGAAGCAAACACAGGACTATATAAAACGCCAGGTGTTTGAGATGTGAGGTCACATTAACAGGCCCACAGAAGCCTGCCAGTTTGGGCTTTGCTCAGGGATGTTGATTACAGAGGAGTAAGAGCCTGCCAAACCGGGAAGTCTCCTGGCAAGCAGGCACAGGGCAGCCATTTCGCCACACAAGCATTTACTCATGTGAGTCTTTGTTTCCCTGTTTAACTTTGTACCATTGTTAAGGTCAGAATCCAAAATTAGCACAGAACCTAATTTAAATTTTAATCTAGCAAGGGTGCCCAGACTACATGTGGCCAAATGCTTATACAGATTCATTTGTATCGAAGAAAGTTCAGATGAGTGACCAGTGTGTAGTAGGCACTGTTTTGCCACATTACAGGCAGAAATATCTTAAAATCCTAGAATGTACAGAGTGGATGGAGCAGGGATCACAGGTATGTGTTATAGGTCGAACTCTATCTCCCCCAAATGTGGAGTGTGTTTGGTACTGTATCCCAGTACCTCAGAACATAACCTGATTTGGAGAAGAGCTTTAACATGATCGTTAGGGAGATCACATCGGGATGCTCAGTCATCTCTTTGCCAGATGCAATGTGACAGTGTGAGGACAATAGTATGTGGTAACAGGCAAGAGACTGGCGCTAAGGGCCGCAAGCCAAGGGACACCAAAGAGCATGGCAACACCAGTGTCTAGAGAAAGACATGGAGCTGTTTTCTTAGAGGATTTTAGAGAACTCCCAACCCTGCTGAGACCTTGCTTTTGGCTCAAAATCTTCCAACTATGAGAGAAAACATCCATTTCCTTTAAGCACCCCAGGCCCCAGCAATTTGTTACAGCAGGCCTAGCAAATGAATCTACTTGTTCCAGAAATAAGAGCACATTGTCCCAGCATGAGTTAGGTGAGTGAGAATGAAGGATAGACAGGCTCGGTGTCTGGGAAGCCACAAGAGACTGAAAAGAAGCCAGAAGAGGAGGGTGTGCCTGCTACCTATTATGGTAGAGGCCGCCCCAGCCTTTGCCGGCTTAGCATTGCATGGTTTAGTTTGCCACACTGGTTTCTCAAGGCTTACTGGCTTACCTTCTGGGGCTGGATGGCTGGAAGAGCCTGGAGAGATGGGTGTTTGTCTGTCTGCTCATCAGTTTCTGAATCTGCAGAGTCTATGGAGTCTGGTTTCCTGGCCCAGGAGTGTGTTGATGTGCAAATCTTTCTTACATCTCTTGCTATACCTCATTCTTGTGATACCTCATTGACCAAAGCAAGTCCCATGGCCAAGCCTGTGGGGAGGGTGTGTGTGTGTGTGTGTGTGTGTGTGTGTGTGTGTGTGTGTGTGTGTACAGAGACAATTCATGAGAAACTGCTAATAGAATAATCTGTCTCAGAGACTCTTTCACTATCTATTGCAACTTAACCAATTATCCCCAAACTTAGAAACTTGAAACAATAATAGCTAGCTGGGAAGTGGGGGTGCACACCTATAATTCCAGCACTTGGAAGGCAGAGGCAGGGGAATCTCTGAGTTTGAGGCCAGCCTGGTCTACAGAGTGAGTTCCAGGATAGTCAGGACTACACAGAGGAAAGCTGTCTCAAAAAAACAACAAAGAAAGCACTGATACCTGTTATCTTTTTTTTTCTCTTGAGGCAGAGTTTCTCTGTATTGTTTTGGAGGCTATCCTGGAACTAGCTCTGTAGACCAGGCTGGCCTTAAACTCACAGAGATCCACCTGCCTCTGCCCCCCGAGTGCTGGCATTAAAGGTATGCGCCACCAACGCCCGGCCTATCTTAGAGTTACCATACTTGAGGAATTCGGATACAAGCACTGCTCAGCTAGGTACCTCTGGCTCAGGGTCTCATAAAATGCTAAAGCAAAGATATTTATATTGGCTGTGGCTGCTTTCTTCTCCAACCACGACCTAGAGGGGATTTACCTCCAAGCCTGCTGATGTTGCTGTTGGTAAATCTCAGGTTGTCAGGGACTATTATCCAAAGAGAGGCGGTTCGATGCTGTAAAAGGAGAGGGGATGTAGCTCAGCGGTAGTGTTTCCCTGATGAAAATGAAGGGCTGGCTGTGATGCCCAGCAACACAACCAACACAGACCTGAGCAAGGGAAATACATTACTTGTTTGTTCTCTTGAGCTACATTCTCAAGAGAAGATGGATACAAACGCAAAGATATATAAAATGGTAGGGGTTTGGAGATGCCACAAAGAAGAATAGAGAAGGAAGGGGAGAGTAGAGTCAGGATAGAGCCAATGCTGCTACATAAAGAGAACAGGGCTGGGCAGTGGTGGTGCAGGACTTTAATGTGAGCACTTAGGAGGCAGAGGCTGGCAGATCTCTGCGAGTTCCAGCCCAGCCAGGAATGCATCATGAGATCCTGCCAGACAAGATGTGCTGCTGGGGCAATAATGGAAAGATTGTTATGGAAGTAACCAATTTCTTCCTGTTTTGGTTTGAAACCAATTCCATAAGAGGTGATCCATGCAAGGTTCAATAAACCTGGTCAAAAGCCTATGGCTGAGGAGGTTACAGGCCCTTTGGGGCGGGGATGGGGTGAGGAGCTACTGCTGTTGCTTTTAATAAATGGACATGTTGTCAAATTGCATTCTTCTTTGTGTCATGGGCAGCAGTCCATGAAGAGACTCATAGCTACTCAAAAGGGCTGAGAGTTCAATTCTCAATGGGACATGTCTATCGACCTCCCCAAGTCTCAAGAAACATTGTGGAAGAGGAGAAGTGTAGCACAATAAATAGAAGACCCAGAGGCAGACATTGGGTTCTAGCTTCTAGCTGAAGATCAGAAAAGCAAAGCAACTGGCCACTGTCTCTTACCACTATTGTAAGGCGATACTGACCTCAGACTGAAATCCCAGACTGCTGTGCTCTCCTCGATGTGGCTGGAGAATCCTGAGACTCAATGTCTTCCTAGCCTCAATATGGGGAGAGAATGAATGCCAGCTCTGAGACCCTGTTCCTGTCTTATATACCTCCCTAGTGTTGGGATTGCAGGTGTGTGCAAGCCATGGTGGCCTTTAACTAACAGAGATCTGTCTACCTCTTAATCCTGAGTCCTGGGATTAAAGGTGTGT